GAAGAACTCAACTGTTAGCAATAACTAAAGCCAACCCTCATTGAGCATTTACTATGTGCTGGGTCCTGTTCTTAGAGCTTTACATGCAGTAACTCTTTTAATTCTTAAATACACATGAGATTAATACTGTTATATATGTGTGTAAAAGTATGTGTGTATATATATTCTTATATATAATTGTATTATATATATAAAATAATATATATACTTATGCACACACACCCATATATAGTGTGTGTATATATATAGCTCTGTGAAACCACTTGTAAATTTTTTGAATGGGCTAAGTTATGGCAGATGCAACAGGTTGGGCACTGGAAATATAAAGATAAACTAGATATAGTTTAGTTTTCTATGACCTCACACCAGTGGGAGTGGGAGGAGGAGATAGATGTAAATAGTCATACTTCTATTTTTGTATGACTTAGTAAGTTGAATCACTGTCAATTACTGTGGAGTTCTATTGCAAGATGAATCACTCTGCTAGGGGTAAGATGATGTAATACTTTAGTTTATTCATGGAGGAAGAGTATATTCCAGGAGAAAAATTTTGGTCAAGGGCATTCCAGTTAGAGAAAGCAGAATGGATAAAGCCTTGAAGGAAGCAAATAGGATAGTTAGGGAATAATAAACCCTTTGGTGTGCTTACAGCCAGGCTACACAGAAGTGGGGAAAGCTGGTGAAGATGGGGTTGAGGGAGTGAAGTGAGTTGAGGCTAGAAAGGGATGTAGCAAGTGTAACTATTATTCCAGAATCCAAGTGTGCTAAAATCATAACTTTTATTTTATATAACATAATTTCCATTTTGAGTCCCTCTTCAGTAAATGTGGTAAAAACCCAATCTCAGTTGTTTTGGAGCAGGCCTCACCTTTCCCTGGGGCGTGTCTTGGAGGCCAACATAGTTTCAGATGAGTGAGAAGGCCGAGTGTTGTTCAGCATCATCGTCTACACAGGCATTCCGTCAAGCTTTCTCATCCTCCTCTCTTAAAAGCTTTGATGTCATTCTGCTCCTTCCATATCTCTCTAGGTCCAAGGAGACTCTTGGAAGCTGTTCTAAAGCCATCCCTTCAACTCACTACACATTTCCTTTTCTGAGGTCTCGCTCTAGGGTCTGCTTAGGTGGCAGGAGGCAGGTTTCTTTTTCCTGGACCCTCCAGTGCCTATATGTAGTCAGCAATTCTCAACTGGTTATTTTCTCAGCATGTGGAAAATATTTTTTCAATCTAAAGGGTGGAGCTTAATCTCATAAAATTTAAACAAAATATTCTGTCATGCTCAGTTTCCTCTCCAACCCTCAAAGGCATAGGCTTTGGGAATATAAAAGCCAAGAAGAAACCTACACAATACATATATATATATTTTTTTAATGCAGCAGCAGCCCTCTCTGAAGACAGTGACTGCACAGTGATCTAGCTTCTGAAATGAGGAGATAGGTATGGGGATAAAGAAAATATCTGGTAATCATTGTTGGTGCTTCAGACATATTTTCTTTCATGTGTATATTGTGGCAAAATCGCAAAGGAACTAATGTGATGTACCTTGGATCTTGATCTTTATCCTTTATGTAGTGGACTGTTATTGAAGGTTATCAATGGAAGCACTATGATTATATTTTTGCTTTCAAATATAAAATCTGGGGACAATCTGAAACCTAACTGGGGCGGAAAGATTAGTTATAGTAGTCTTGTTTCAGGAGAGGTAAGAAATGATGAGGACTTGAACCAGAGCATTAACTGTGAAGAGAGAGAGGATTTGAATAGTGCTAGATAGATTTTGGAGTCACTGAAGCTGTGAAAGTGACTGAGGTCAGCCTGGAGCCTGCATAGAGTTCTGGGAAACACCTGTGTATAGGAAAGAGGGAGAACATAGGGGTCAATACTGAGACTAAGGGAGAAGCATCAGAGTGGTAGAAGTAAAAGAACGAGGATAATAAGCTCCTACACACTGGTGATAACCTTCAATGACAGTCCACTGCATAAAGAATGATGGTTTTATTAATGGGAGTTCCCCTGCATGTGCCCTCTTGACTGTCACCATGTACGACATGCTTTTGCCCCTCCTTTGCCGTCTGCCATGATTGTGAGGCCTCCCCAGCCATGTGGAACTGTGAGTCCATTAAACCTCTTTTTCTTTATAAATTACCTAGTCTCGGGTATGTTTTTATTAGCAGCATACTAACAGACTAATATAGTTACATAGGTAAACGTGTGTCATGGGTTTTTTTGTTTTGTTTTTTGGTTTTTTTGTACAGATTACTTCATTACCCAGGTATTAAGCCTAGTACCTACTAGTTTTTTTTCCTGATTCTCTCCCTCCCCCACCCTCCACACTCCCAAAGGCTCCAGTGTGTGTTGTTCCCCTCTGTGTGTCCATGTGTTCTCATCATTTAACTCCTACTTATAAGTGAGAACATGGTATTTGGTTTTCTCTTCCTGTGTTAGATTGCTAAGGATAATGGCCTCCAGCTTCATCCTTGTCCCTACAAAGGGCACGATCTCATTCTTTTTTATGGCTGCATAGTATTCCATGGCATCTATGTACCACATTTTCTTTATCCAGTCTGTCATTGATTGGCATTTAGGTTGATTCCATGTCTTTGCTATTGTGAATAGTGCTACAATGAACATATGCATGCATGTGTCTTTACAATAGAAGTATTTATACTTCTTTGTTGAATGCCTGATTTTTATTTTGACTGGTACACTTTGACAGGCGAAGCACGAATAAAAGGAACTTGGTGCTAGACTTGCTTTCTATGTATTTTGATGGTTGAAGCTATAGATATGGTGTAATTGGACATACAAACATAAAGGAGGCAATTTTGACCTTGAACAAAGTTGTTTACTTTTTGAGCTATTTAGAAATGACTGTAGACTTAGAAGACATCATTGCTGAAGAACATTTGTTTAAATTATCTTGGTTTCTTATCTTGAGAATTGAGAAAACTGGTAAAAGCAATGAGTAGAAAACAGATATTTAGTTAGACTTGGAAAATGGTCTTGATTTGGTAGTGACATACTGGCAACAATTAATACTATATAGAGACATTTCCTGGTAAATAGAAAAGATAGATAATGTAAGGTTTCCCAAGATTGATTTGGAGAAAAATCCTCACCTGACACAGTGTCCTGTTTCATTTTTGAAAATGTGGAGCAGAAGACATCTCACAACTGATTTAAATAAAAATTCAATCTGAAAAAGTTTATTGTTGTATTGACATAAGGCAAAGCAGTCAAGAATACCTCTTGCATGTTTTGCTCTATTTCTGCATCTCTTTGTTTCTTCCTTACTTTCTGTCTTACCTTTTAATGGAGTTTTCTCCAGTATTCTGTGCTTGGCCTGCTGTTTTCTCCTTATCTGCTGGCCTGTCCTTATGGGTAAGGAGAAATGGATTTAGCTATGGCCTCCAGCACATGAATCCTGAATCTTTAGATCTGAACTCTCTAAAACTGGAAAGTTACAGTCTGAATACTTATTGGACATCTGCAATTGAATGTGCCAGGCACTGCAAAACAAAAATGTTCAAAACCAAACTAATAATCTCTCCTCTGACCAGAGCAGGTATTTTGCTGAATTCTTATTTCCCACTATGACACTAGCATTCTCCAAATGCTTAGGTTTGCTGTTTTGGTAATTTTTTAAAATTTTTATTCTCTCTACTTCTATTCTATCAGTTGCTAAGTCCTGTAACTTCTTCCTCTATAAATCTTGTAAGTACGTGCTTTCTTTTCTATTTTCATTTATACTCTCTTTCCCTACAGAGTTATGGTAGCTCAAGTCTCTTAGTCTCTCCACATTCCAGTTAATCGTATACATTGCTGGTGGCTAAACTCTCATAGAACATACTTCTAATTATATCCTATTTTGCTCAAAGCTGTCGAACGACTGCTGGTCTGTTTTCTAGCACCATACCTGCAGGACCCAGATTATCTTTCCAGCTACATGACCACCTCCCTCCATCCACACAACATACTTCCTCCCCCTGTCAAAAACAGACTTACGCATTCTTCAAACTTGCCGTTGACTTTTGCCTATATTGTTCACTTTGCTAGAAATATTTTTTCCCCTCTTTTCCATACCTGTCAAAATCAGACTCATCTGAAACAGGCCCTTTCATTTTAACATAACCTTTTGCAGTCTCAACTGTGATAATTTATCCTAGAAAATATTTACTCTTTGTACATTTATAACATGTGTGTAAGTATGTTTAACACAGCATTGCTTGTAACAGTAAAATATTGGAAACAAGTGAAATAGTTGCAACATTGAAAAAAATAGATATATACATTTATATACTGATAGGAAAAAATTTGGTCACTGAATGTGAACTATGACTCCATTGTTAGAAAATAAGTGTGTATTTGTGTGTATCTACATACATACATAAAAGAAAATCTGAAAATGTACACACCAAAATGTTGAACAGTGCTTGTGTGTGTGTGTGTCTGTGTGTGTGTCTGTGTGTTAGGGGTAAAGTTATGAAATACTTTTATAATGTACTTTTTGTCCCAAAAATGTTAGCATTTGCTAATATTGGGTGATGAGCTCACTGATGTTTATTACACTGTTCTTTGTATTTGATATTTTTAAATAAGAATAAAACTGGAAAAATGCAGCGTTAGATTTTAAATATGTACCTTAGTGTGCAATGGCATTTATCAGGACAAGAGATTTTTCTTTTATGGGATCTTGGACTGATATTCCAAAAAATATTTTAATTCAAGAACACTGATATTTCTGCTGACAGACTACCTCTTACCAAATGTGGGTTTCTTCTTGCAAGTAAACATCATTGAATTAGCGTATATGTGGTTGCACACAGTCAGCAGAGAAATATTTGAATGAATGCCATAATGCTTACACACAATTAAAACTGAGTCAGCTTGACGTATTTTTGTGTAAATCATTAAGTGAAATGAGTTTGATTCATTTTTACATGTTTATTTTTAATGGAGACTAAAGAGACATAAATGGTATGTGTTTGTTTTGTGGTGGTCTAGGTAATAACACTGATACAGGGCCCTTCGTGAATCTGGAGGAAAGCATGACCAGGTAATTAGACATTCTACTTACTATTGTTAAGCTTTTCTATATTCATCAAGTTGTAGAAATGTTTAAAATTTTGCATTATCATCATAGAAATTTTGAGGAGAACAATACTCTTGTTAGTTTTTAGGAGGATATGTGTAGATTTTTTAAGAAAAGAATTGGCTGCATAAGGTATGCAAAAGTTATGGTTAAGCTTAAAATAGACATTGATCAATATAGAATATCATATTAATATATAAGGAAATTAGAGGAGTTTAAAGTAGCCTTTTAAAATGTAGTTGAATTAAGAATCATTATTTTCTGTAATATATATGTGCCAGGTGTGGCGGCACATACCTACAGTCCTAGCTACTTGGGAGGCTGATGTGAGAGGATTGCTTGAGCCCAGGAGTTCAAAGCTGCAGTGAGCTATGATCACATCACTGCACTCCAGCCTGGGGGAAAGAGCAGGACACTGTCCCCCACCAAAAAAAAAAAAAAAAAAAAAAAAAAAAAAAAATTAGAGAGAATAATTATTTTCAATGGCTTATAATTCTTAATTTGTTTCCTGGATGTTTTCAGACATGACATGATAATGAAAGCAGCCAAAAGGAATTTTTTTAACTCAACATCTGATTCTGAACAATAAAATAAAACATCGCAGAATAAATATAGTCACTCTATTCTTAACTCACACTGGGGAATCTTTTGGTTAATGATTTACATATCTTGAAGTTTATTCCCCAGAACAGCTTATAACAGATGTCCAAAGGTACGTGTAGGTGAATCAGAAGAAAATAATTCTACATTATGGTGTTAATGATCTGGTACATTTGAAAAAAATAGATACCTTTTTTGCTGGAGTACAGTGATACGATCTCGGCTCACTGCAACCTTCAATTCCTGGGTTCAAGCGATTCTTGTGCCTCAGCTTCCCAAGTGACTGGGTTTACAGGCATGTGCCACTGGGTTTACAGGCGGGTGCCACTACACTGGCTAATTTTTATGTTTTTAGTAGAGGCGGAGTTTCACCATGTTGCCCAGGCTGACCTTGAACTTCTGACCTCAGGTGATGCACCTGCCTTGGCCTCCCAAAGTGCTGGGATTACAGGTGTGAGCCACCGTGCCCTGCCGAAAATGGAGACACTTGATAATATTTTGAAAGTCGAGGAGTAAATACCTCCAAATATTCCTGTGGAGAGGCATTGTTTTTTACATTGGGGAAAATGAAACAGAATGTCTTTTAATCATGTACATGCTTTTGAGTAAACATACACTGACAGTTTAAAATACATTAACTTATTCTCAAAGCATGAGTTCTACTTGTGATGTGGGGTTTCTATTAGCTGTCTTTTGCTATATAATAAACACTTAGATAGAATACTATCTCTTGCTGTATCATGAACACTTAGATAGTAATTAATGATTGAGTTATCTGTTAACTAAAACCTAGTGCTTTAATTACATCTTCCTTGATAAATGCATTGTAAGTTACAAGGTAGAGATTGGGGAAGACTTGTTTCCCAAGATTCCTGATGGGCTGAGTACTGAATTGTGAACAGCAATGTCAGAGACTGTCTGCTTGTTACCTAGCCATCTTTATAGCTTCTGCATGATTCAAACATACAGTTTAATTTGAAGATGGTAAGTAGTGAAGTTTTAAAAGTGGGAATATTGGAATACTGTATTTCATTTTAGAATGTTTGCCTTTAACCTAAAAATTAATTGTTTAGTGAAGCCCAATAATTGTTTGCTTTTTTTTTTTTGAGATGGAATGTTGCTCTGTCTCCCGGGTTGGAGTGTAGTGGCACGATCTCTGCGCACTGCAACTTCTGCCTTCCGGGTTCAAGCGATTCTCCTGCCTCAGCCTCCTGAGTTACTGGGATTACACGTGTGCACCAGCACACCCAGCTAATTTTTTTTTTTTTTTTTTTTTTTTTCTTTTTTTTTGTATTTTTAGTAGAGACAAGATTTCACCATGTTGGTCAGGCTGGTCTCAAACTCCTGACCTCGTGATCTGCCCACCTTGGCCTCCCAAAGTTCTGGGATTACAGGCATGAATTGTTTGCTTTTTTTTTTTTTTTTTTTTTGAGATGGAGTCTCGCTCTGTCACCCAAGCTGGAGTGCAGTGGCACGATCTCGGCTCACAGCAACCTCTGCCTCCCAGGCTCAAGCGATTCTTCTGCTTCATCCTCCCAAGTAGCTGGGACTACAGTCGCATGCCACCATGCTCGGCTAATTTTTTTTGTATTTTTTGTAGAGACAGGACTTCACCATATTGGCCAAGCTGGTCTCGAACTCCTGACCTTGTGATCTGTCTGCCTCGGCCTCCCAAAGTGCTGGGATTACAGGCGTGAGCCACCATACCCAGTCCGTTTGCTTTTTTAAATATGAAAACTCAGAGCAAGGAAACATTAATTCAGAATTTCTAGATTGATCAAGGATCTGTTTTTAAGACAATGCTCATGTTTTTTAGTACTAGAATTTAAATTGGAAGGGCCACTATTTGATTTGTTAAGCATTTTAGGATAACTCACGATGGCCAGTTGGGCAAATGAAATAAAACTACGTTTTAACATTTTCAGTTGTCTCTTGGCATCTAAAATACTAGATTAATAGCCTAAGGGATAATCCCTAGCCCAAAAGCCCAAGGGATTATTTCCATTTCTTGATCTCACTTTCTGACAGGTTCTGTCACTTCTTTTCATCTCCAGTGTACAGAGACCAACCCAGTGCACTCATCAACTAATGCTAATGTAATAAAAGTAGACAGTATTACAGTGGTGGGTCTTACCTGATGCTGTGATTCCCCAATACACCACACCATCTTTCACAGTAACTGGCATTCTCTGAGTGCTTACTATGTGCTGGGCATTGGTCCAAGTATATTTCATGCATGAGTATTTTTATCTCTGTTTTACTAATTAGAAAACTGAGGCTTAGAAAAGTTGAGCAGCTTGCCTAAGATTACACAGCAGTGAAGTGAAGAGCTGGGATTTGAGCCAAAGCAGAAACCATTCTTAACCATTTCGCCATAGTGGTGCAGACGTAGTTGGATGGTGACTATCAACTCTGCTGGTTACAGCCCCTTCTTGTCTGTTAAGGATGGCTAGATACCCAGATAAGTGAAAAAATAGGAATGAGGGGTCTCTTTGGAAAAGGTACATTGATTAGGAAACAGAGAGCATGTACAGTGTTCTTGTTTTTCAGGTATGCCTATTATTACAGTGGAATTGGTGCTGGGGTACTGGTTGCTGCTTACATTCAGGTTTCATTTTGGTGCCTGGCAGCTGGAAGACAAATACACAAAATTAGAAAACAGTTTTTTCATGCTATAATGCGACAGGAGATAGGCTGGTTTGATGTGCACGATGTTGGGGAGCTTAACACCCGGCTTACAGAGTAAGTATTTAGTTTTATGTTGAACTTGGATGTGGTTCTTATTCTTAGTAAAATGAAATAGATGTCATCACATCTGTTAGGAGATGTTAGTGTACCACTCAAAGGTACTTATGAGACAAAATTTCTTCTAAGCAGCAACGATGTCGTGTGCATCCTTTTGTTCCTAGTACCTTGACGGGCATAAGGGCACCTGCATGACTAGCATTGAATGAAGGACTGGACTTTGCCAGAATGAAGAAATCCTCTGAGAATGTGCAGTAGAGCAAAACAAGATACTTTCTGAGGAAATTTCTGAGCAATTTGAAATTCCTAGGTTGAATACTACTTATGTACACGATGTCCATTTCCTGGGGCCATGTGTCTATGGATTTTTGTTGCTAATGACAAATCTTCTAATAGAAACTTATACCCTGCTAAATAAAACAAAGCATAGGCGCAAAATGCTGTAGCTATAAACTACCCTACACTCAAAATAGGCTTCAGAAGAAAAGTTGTTGTTTACAATTCTGACATTTATTTCTAATACTATCTGTTCTTTTAGTGATGTCTCCAAGATTAATGAAGGAATTGGTGACAAAATTGGAATGTTCTTTCAGTCAATGGCAACATTTTTCACTGGGTTTATAGTAGGATTTACACGTGGTTGGAAGCTAACCCTTGTGATTTTGGCCATCAGTCCTGTTCTTGGACTGTCAGCTGCTGTCTGGGCAAAGGTAGGTGAAGCCTGTGAATCCAGATTTTGAACTACACCTTCCCCTTTCCTGCTCTCACCTTATGGAAAGGTCTTTTTACTACATGATGACTCTGATTCTGTACTTGTTACTTTTACGTTTTGTGTTCAAAATCAGCTGGATAAGCATATCCAGCCTCACTGAGTACTACCCCTGCCAAGACTCCATGCTGCTCTTGGCCATGTGATTATTTGGGGAACGGATGAGAAAGAAGAATGTAGCTCTCATATCTATCTTCTGCTTTTGTAAGAAAACAAACAAACAAAAACAAAACAAACAAACAAAAAAACTTGCTGAGCTCCAAAGAACCGTGCTCTCTAGTGGATGATGCCCTATTCATATAGCAAGTAGCGACTCAAGTTTAGTGAGCAACAGATGTCCCATTCAATTAACATTTCTTTTTACTTTAATGTTTTTGGCTTTCTAGGTTTTTGTTTAATTTTTAAATTGATTTTACAGTTTTGTCAGCATTCATGCATAGTTAAATTTTTGGTTATAAAATAATTTAAGAAAATAGATACTTTCTAGTCCCTAAGGATGCATATAAATCCTTAGCCTTCAGCTCTCTCTCCTGTCATGAAGGCAGAGAGGTAGAAGTGGCCCTCTCTACCTCAGCACACGTTTCCAGTGATCTTTTAAAACCTATTTTCCATTTCAAGGTGAACATGGTGTGAATTTTAAACTGATTTTATATGAGTGTATTTTCAGTAGAGAAATTGGCCTGGTATGTAATTTTTATGGAGTTCAGCACAACTTAGAGAAGGCAATATAAATTCATGTAGCAAAAGTAATGAATGGACAACCAAAGCCAAGCATCACACAAAATAAGTCAGGCTGTAAGTATTAAGAAACTTTAGAAATTTTAACCTTGTATAATGGATATTATTTTGTTTCTGCAAAGAATAATTATCATTTATTGAGCATTTATTGTCAGGCAAATACCTGTGTTATCTTTCTGAAGTATAGGTATTATCTTGTTTTACAGAGAAAGAAACTGAAGTTCTGAGGTGTGTGTTAATTTTTTGCTTAGAGTAACACAGAGTTCAAATAATGTTTCTGGGGATTATCAGTTAACTAAAGTATTTGGCAAAAGCTTCTTGTCAATTGATTTTTCTGTATACTAGAATGTTAAGCAAGTTAGGTGACAAACTCTTCACATCAGTATTTACTGAAAAACTACTTAAAACATATTGATGTCTGTTTTAAGTTAAGATTAAAAACAGACCATGAGTCAATCTTTTAATGATTAATTATGCATTGCTTCACATGCTGTTTATTTAGTAAAAGGAGCCCCAGGCTGGCTGCTAGAGACCCAAGCTTTAATCCCCACGCAACATTACACTTTTGGTATGATTTCAAACAAATTTCGTAAATTCTTTGGATGTCAATCATATTAAAAAAGAAATGTGGTTCACTCTGGGTCTGGGAAGCCTCTTTGTGTCTGTGAGTCTGAGGCTCTACCCTCAAACCTAGAGACACAGAAGCAAATAGACATGGCAGAAAGGGACCCAGTCACAGCAAGTGACCTGGCCCAGGAAACCTCTTTTGTACTTTGTACCTAAGACTGTCTTCCTAGCGCCCAGACACACTGGGGCACTAGAGGGCATTGGTACGGGAAACCACCACACTCTTCCTTGATCTGGCAGTCTGATCTTGAAAAACCACTTTCACCCACTCAAGCAGCAGAAGCAGGGTCCAGTGGGAGCCCCAGAAGCGTCACATAAATCAAGCCAACCAAAATAATACTACAAACACTCTGAATATTAAACCGCTCCTGGAACCACATCTCACAAAAGTAGGCCAATACTATCATGCTAAACTTAAATAGAGCAACTGCCTGCTAGAGTAAAGCAGGTTTATTTTATTTTAACTTTTTAAAACTTTTATTTTAAGTTCAGGGGTACAAGTGCAGTTTGTTACATAGGAAACTTGTGTCATAGGGGTTTGTTATATAGATTATTTCATCACCCAAGTATTAACCCTAGTACCCATTAGTTGTTTTTACTGACTGTTTCCCTCCTCCCACTCTCTACCCTCTAATAGGCCCCAGTGTGTGTTGTTCCCCACTATATATCCATGTGTTCTCATCATTTAGCTCCCACTTATAAGTGAGAACATGCAGTATTTAGTTTTCTGTTCCTGAGTTAGTTTGCTCAGAATAATGGCCTTCAGCTCCATCCATGTCCCTGCAAAGGACACGATCTCATTCTTTTTTTATGGCTGCATAGTATTCCATGGTGTCTATGTACCATATATGTATATATTTTTTATCCAGTCTATCATTGATGGGCATTTAGGTTGATTCCATCCTTGTCTTGTGCCAGCTTTCAAGGGGAATGATTCCAGCTTTTGCCCATTCAGTATAATGTTAGCTGTAAGCTTATCATAAATGGCTTTTATTATTTTGAGGTGTGTTCCTTTAATACCTTGTTTATTGAGAGTTTTGATCATGAGTGGATGTTGCATTTTATTGAAAGTCTTTTTGCATCTATTGAGATAAGCATGTGCTTTTTGTCTTTAGTTTCTGTTTACGTGGTGAATCACATTTATTGATTTGCATCTGTTGAACCAACCTTGCATCCTGAGGACAAAGCTTACTTGATCATGGTGGATAAGCTTTTTGATGTGCTGCTGAATTCAGTTTGCCAGGATTTTGTTGAGGATTTTTGTGTCAGTGCTCATCAAGGATATTGGTAAAGTTTTTTGTTGTTGTATCTCTGCCAGGCTTTGGTATCAGGATTATGCTGGCCTCATAGAATGGATCAGAGGGAGTCTGTCCTCCTCAATTTTTTGGAACATTTTCAGTAGGAATGGTATCAGCCCTTCTTTAACATTTGGCAGGATTCAGCCATGAATTCATCTGGTCCTGGACTTTTTTGGGGAGTGATAAGCTATTTATTACTGCCTCAATTTCAGAACTCTTTGTTGATCTGTTCAGGGATTCTATTTCTTCCTGGTTCAGTCTTGGGAGGATGTATGTGTCTAGTAATTTATCCATTTATTCTAGATTTTCTAGTTTATGTGCACAGAGGTGTTCATAATATTCTTTGATGGTTGTTTGTATTTCTGTGGGGTCAGTGGTAACATCCTCCTTGTCATTTCTGATTGTGTTTATTTGAATCTCCTCTCTTGTCTTTTTTATTAGTCTAGCTAGTAGTCTGTCCATTTTATTAATTTTGTAAAAACACCAGCTCCTGGATTCGTTGATCTTTTGAATGTTTTTTCTTGTCTCAGTCTCCTTTGGTTCAGCTCTGATTTGGGTTATTTCTTGTCTTCTGCTAGCCTTGGGATTTGTTTGCTCTTGGTTCTCCAGTTCTTTTAGTTGTGATGTTAGGTTATCAACGAGGTCTTTCTAATTTTTTGGTGTGGGCATTTAGTGCTATAAATTTACCTCTTAACACTACAGTAAGGCATATTTAAATAGGAGACAGAGTCTGCTAACATAATAGTCAAAATGTCCAGGTTACAATAGAAAGTTGCCTGTCATACCAAGAGTCAAGAAAATCACAACTTGAATGGGGAAAATTAGCACACAAACAAACTAACAACAATTACCTGACATCAACACTGAGATAAATCAGGTGCTGGAATTATCTGACAATGATTTTTAAACTGCCATCATAAAAATTCTTTACTAATCGAACACGAATTCTTTTGAAACAATAGAAAAAAATCCTCAATGTAATAGAATTTATTAAAAAGAACAGTGAAATTAGAGAACAGAGATATACAACAACAGAAATAAGAGTCATGCTAGATGGACTTAACCTAAGCAGTTGGAGATGGCAGCATAGAATTAGTGAACCTGGAGGTTAGAACAATAGAATTCACCCATTCTGAAACAAATAAAATAATAAAAAAAGAACTCCAAGGACCTGAGGGACGATAACAAAAAGTCCCACATTTGTGTCATCACAGTACCAAAAGTAGAGGAAAAAGAGAGTGGAGCTGAAGGAATATTTGAAGAAATAATAACTGAAAATTTCCCATGTTTGATGATGAAAGGCAATACTTCAGATCCAAGAAGCTGAGCTAATCTCAAATAGGTTAAACCAAATAAATCCATACCAAAGAATACTATAATTAAAGTATTAAAAAGTGAAGACAAGATAGAAATCTTGAAATCAGCCAGAGAAAAACAGTGCATTTTTATAGGGTAATATAATACCAATTTAGATGACAACATACTTCTCACCTAAAACCACAAAGGCCAGAAGTGACACAATATTATTCAAGTGCTCAAATAAAAGAACTGCCAACTGAATATATATCTGGTGAGACTAGCCTTCAGGAATGAGGAGGAAGTAAAAACAGTCTCAGATCAAAGTTTCACTAGCATGCCTACTTGTTAAAGATGGGCTAAATAAAATTTTTCTAACAAAAAGGGAATGATAAAAGAAGAAATATTGAAGCATCAGGAAAGGGAAGGCAAGGGAACAACAGAAAGAGCAGAAATATGGGCATATACAATAGACTTTCCTTTGCCCCATGAGATTCATAAATCATATTTGATGATTGAACCACAAATCATATGTGGTAGAATATTGATACCATAGACTGTTGTAAGTCACATATGAATATTACAATACTCAGATAAGCCACTATAAAACTCCTGCAAAAATATGTATTCAAAAATACTGTAAACTCAGCAAGATTGAATCCTAAAATTTGATAAGTAACCTGCAGGAAGGCAAGAAAAGAGACACAGAGAATGGAAACCAGAGGAAACAAATAGAAAACAAATAATAAAAAGGTATACTTAAGTGCTAACATATCATTAACTACCTTAAATGTAAATGGTTTAAATGTACCAATCATAGGAAAAATTGGCAGTGTGTTAAAAAAAATGAGTAACTATATGCTACTTACAATAATCTTCAAATTCAACAACATAGGTAGAGTAGAAGTAAAGGTATGGAAAAAGATATACCATACAAACACTACTTTTTTACAAGGAGTGACTATATTAATATTAAATAATG